TTCACGAACATACATTACCTAAGCATCTATATTTTGTTCAATGACTCAGAGAATAGATAGAAATAGATACAGAAGTAAGAGGTACAAATAAACAGTAGCCTTCTTCACAATTTTTGATGTTGATATATTGTTTGTCAGACAGAAAACTCAACTTCAACGAAAAAGATGGTTTCGATGTTCACCTTTCTTATACCACCGTAGGCAGATGTGCTACATTTTACTGTCACTGTCCTTTACGTCTGTATAATGGCTTGTTAGAATAGGAACAACTTGGCTGCAAAAGTAAAAGGATCATAAAAAATGGAACACATAAATATGAATAAAATATAATGAGTTAGGTGATGTTGTTCAGAATAGTTTATCATTCAAGTAGTGATTGCTAACTTAAAAGTAGTGTCAGCTATCTTTTTTATCGATTTTTTGTGCTCATTTCCGATGTATGCTGATGTCTCGAGAGTCGGAAATACCATTCATAATTTCTACAATGTCTCTATCATACATGAACAAAAACAATAGAAAACATTCTTCAAACAACGATCTACAAAAAGCTCTTAATAACATCAATAATGGTAAATGTGTTCGTGAAGCTGCTGCCATGTATCACTTTCAACTAGAGTTCTGCACGGGCACGGGAATTCCCATGGTCGCGGACATGCTCGTACTGTCTGCGGGTGTGGACGGACACATTGGATGTGTCTTACATGCAAGAGTAAATTAAATTTGAAAAATCTAGACCATGTTCAATAAATATGTTTGTCCTTTTGCAGAATGAGACGGACCATTAGCAATGAAAGAATTCCTTATTAGCAGCTATTTGTACAGAACAAATGAAAAGACCCAACATGTTCAAGGATGGCACATCTAGTGGTGATTGGTATTATGGATTTATGACGCGTTAGTCAAGTTCAAAATTAAAAACCCCTCAACCATTAGAAAAAGCCCGTGTACTATTACAAAATGGTTTACTTTAATAGGTATGTTATTAGGCGATTTCCTATCCTTTGTACATGGACAATACGTGTGTTTTTTGGAATCATTTTTTGGAGAATACATTATGATGGATAAACCATCTCAATTTAAATAAAGTTTATAGCAACCATCTCAAATATTTAAGAGATAGTTTGTGGGCGCGTCAAGAAAATCGCTAAAACCTTCAAAAAAATGTTTTTAAATATGCTTTTCGGATTCTCCTTCCAAAGCTACCTATAAATCCAAGTTTCAAATCTTTTGAAATCTTTGCATCTTTCAGAGAAAAAAATGTTTTGAAAAAGTACCAACAAGTTTTCTTCAAAAATTGAAGAATTATGTGTTTCTGTTGCTTCGTTTAATTGTCGCGACATTATCATACATTTGATTAAAATCGAAGAACGAGTAGGAAGCATCAGGATGTACAGTACTTAGACTATTATATATTTTATTTATAAATCTTTAAAAAGAAATTTACAATACCCTATTGTTCTCCACAAAAGTTCCTAGAAAATCCTAAAACCAAAACATGGTTTCTCAATTTTTCGATGATATAATCATATTTAGTGGATGAAGCGTCTCAGCACCGAGCACGTTCTTGTCAACAAGAATGACGTATGACTTGAATCGAGAACCGTCCCCATCAGTCAGCAAGTCGGAAGGAGGCTGACATTTTCGAACTTGTTCAAATTGATTTTGAGTGGATAAGCAATTAATACTTTCATCTCATTTGGTGCAAAAACTACAACTCCAATGATTTCTCTTGTTTCTATACACCTAACAGTTGTTCGCTTGAAGTAATAAATTGTTTTCTATATTTACCTCGCAATCAATATTAATGTTCCAATTGTATTCAAATGTTGACAAAACATTATGCACACCGATGCACTTACTTGTCCTTGATCACTAAGCGTACAAGTTTTCACCTCTTTAGTCAACTGACAAAATAAATACGAAATAAATATATTTTGTCGTTAAATTTAGGACAAGATTCAGCTTGTATTTCAGCTTTACGCAAGAACAGAATAAACGCCTAGAATATATCTCCATACAGAATCGGTAAGTGCATCGATGTGCAGAACAGCGACTTTATTTCTTATTTGATTTAACAAATGACGTTTTCCACAAAATCTCAAACGGCCTACTTTCGTCATATGCCAAGTAACATTTCAAGCTGTACCTATTGCATTTTAGAAGGAAACATTAATCAATGTCTTCCGGTTTCCGTCGAGACTTGAAGGTGCTGGTATTTACGAGCGACGTAGAAATTGCTGCAAAGGTTGAAAGCCATCTCCATTCATTGGGATATCAAGCAACTGTTATTGCTTTAGAGAACTGCGCCAAATTTGATCAGATAGTAGAAGATTTACTGCGCCGAGAGGCGTTTGATGGAGTGGCTATTGGTGGTAGGATCAATCAACGTCATCCACAAGCTCAACTAGATGATGAGACATTTCACTGGTTCAACAGATTAGTAAACATAATTCACGAGTGCGCATCAAAATCTAAAATTATTTTGAATAAAGATCTGGCTGATTTGGAACCGGCCATTAAACGAGTATTCGTCTGACAAGTATTTTGTTGTTTATAATCATAGATCTTTTAGAAACTGCAATAAATTGTAGGATTA